GAGCACTTCACCCAGCTCTGGGGCCCCCAACATAAAAGGGGCATGGACCTGTTGGGGAGAATCAGTAGGAGTGCCACAAAAATGATCAAAAGGCTGGAGCACCTTTCCTACGAAAACTGGTTAAGAGAATTGGGGTTGTTCAGCCTGGAGAAGAGGCAGCTTCGGGGAGGCCTTATAGCAGCCTTCCAGTACCTAAAGAGGGCCTACAAGAAGGCTGGAAAGGGATTTTTTACAAAAGTATGTAGTAACAGGAGAGGGGGATGGTTTTAAACTGTAAAAGAGTAGGTTTAGATTAGATATTGGGAATAAATTCTTTACTGTGAGGGTGGTAAGGCACTGGAACAGGTTGTCCAAAGAAGTTGTGGGTGCCCCATTCCTGGAAGTGTTCAAGGCCAGGTTGGATGGGGCTCTGAGCAGTCTGGTCTAGTGGAAGGTGTCCCTGCCCATGGCAGAGAGGTTGGAACTAGACGATTTTTAAGGTTCCTTCCAACCTAAAGCACTCTATTATTCTATGAGAGGAAGTGAAATGCAAAAATAGTAGTTTTGGCAACATAACTGTACAGGTACTACCCAACCCATACAAGGGACGGGGTGATGTAGGCTTCTTTCTCCTCCCTCTGCCCCTTATTTAAAAGCAAAACTTTGTCTTGTGGTTGGACACAAGCCTTTGCATTTAATGGATTGTTTGAATGAAGTGAGAAGTGGATGCTTTGCAAAGCAGTGGGACACTGGACGCACAAAGTCATTAATGTAGCAGTGAGTCTTCCTTGAGCTGGGTGTGCTTTTGCATTGGAAGCCACGTTCATCTGTGACTGCAGCCACTTTGGTATCCCACAGCTATATGTAGAAGTTAACTACAGGCCTGCACCACACCTTAGAACACACAACACAGTAGAGATGAGGAGACAGGAGTGTGTAATTCAGGATACTATAGCGTGGGGTGTTTATCATCTTGCAGGCACTTTGAGGCGTGGCTCATAGTCACAAATGCCAATTCTAGGGTCTTAGAAAATCAGTGAACACTTCTCAAAAATATATGGCAATTCAGAACAGAAGCTAAGATTAATATCCGAGAAGAATGGTTCAAGTATTTAAAGTTTCCCTTTTCACAGTAGCTGTAAGGCACAGTGTTTCAGTGGATGCTCTCCAAAATTAGAACCCCTTACACAGTTTCTCTTATTTGTCTGAAAGTTTGCCTTCAACACCAAATAAAATTTGAAAAATGTGTTCACTTTGATGCTGTTTCAGGAATTCTAGGAACTGGCCAAGATCCATGTGATAGTCATTCCTCAGGCTGTAACCACCATGTGCCTGAAACTGCAGGTCTTCAAAACCATGAAAGAGACGAATATCATCAATGTTTCCCTCTGTTTCTATGCTGTCCACGTGTTTGCATGAAATATGCTTCCAGTTGGGATATCTAATAACACGCCAGAACTCTTCACAGTTTTCTTGGAGCCCCTCCACACAGATGACACCAGGTTTCCCAGTTAGGCAGAAGCCAGTCAGATTTAACTTCTTTGCAGAGTCAAAAATCTTTTTTCTCAATTCCTGCCTGTATATATGGTGGCTGTAGATCCACATGCGATGCAAAAATTCTTTAATTCTGACTTCTTTTGAAGCACATTCAGAAGAGATTTTACTGTTTTCCAAGTAAGGCAGGCTGTTGTCCTTCACCCACTGCACAGCTTCACATATACACAGATCACCTGAATCCAGAGAGCTGATGTGAGAAGTGAGATGGGTGTTGAGCTGCAACTGTTGCTGTCTGTGCAGTGCATCTGATCTGGCAAAAAGCTGAGGAGCTACCTGAGGATACATATGAGGAAGGTGTACCTGCAATTCCACCTTTACCTTAAAAACAGAACACACACACAGAGAAAATTAATTCTGCAGCTACTGAAGGCATGCTAGATTCTTTTTCCCTGTCAAAGGCAAATTATGAAGAGATGTAATTAAGATTGCAGTATCCCAATGACTGCAATTACTTTCACTTTCCTTTTGTCCCAATAGCCCATTCTTTCGTCTGTTCCTTTTCTTTTATTGCATCATGCTATCACTTTCCCAAAATTTCTCATGTTATCCAGGCTGCTCTTCTGCTGGTCACAGAACTAATGCTATGGCTTGGGAGAAGGTACACAGTTACCCTCTAGGGATATTTCTTGTGGGGTCTCAGTATGTGCTCAGTGTTGCTACAGTGATGAACTATGAATCTGTTAGGGGGTTCTGAGAATCTTATCCCTTACCAAATGCACATTTGATCAATGAACTCAGGTCAGTTGCTGGATCTACCCCAGGAAAACAAGGCCAAGAGTTGCATGAAACAGTGTTTATGGTTGTACATACTGTATACAGAGACATATGGCGGGGGGGGGTGTGGAACTAGATGATCTTTAAGGTTGCTCCCAACCCAAACCACTCTATCATTCTATGCATTATTATTATTATTATTATTATTATTATTATTATTATTATTATTTTAAGCTAGTATTCACAATAAAGAGGAAGTGTCCTCAGGATTATAGGGGATAAAAAGATTTATGTGCATTTTAGGTCAGGGAAATGTCTAGATTATCTTGTCTGATATCCTATGAACTCTGGGCTGTTGAATTTCTCTTGATTATTCCTACAATGTCTTCAAACGGAGCACCGCCGTTCTTTGGAAACTGAACCCTGTCTCTGGTCTAAGAGCAGGAGAGGATTTATGTGTCCTCAGTGCTTGAGGCTCCTGTAGACCTTTAGGGGATTCTCACTAGAGTGTACAATCACATGATTAGTCCTGCAGAGAAAAGTGAAATGTGAAATGACTAATTATCTTTCCAAGTTCCTTGACAATCTGCCATAGGTACAAGCTTAGGTATCTTTCTAAAATGCACCCTTTCACCAGCCTTCAGAGAGAAGTTCTGTGAACCGTGTAGGGAGGGCTTGTACTGGAGTAGTGGGTTTTTTTCTAAGTTTCCAAATAATCACGAGGCCACCTCATTACCCAGTAAATTCTTCTAATGTTTAATTATCCTGGTCCTGAGAAAAATGGCTTCTAGGTTGAGTTTGTTCTCAATTTCTAGTCATTGCATTATTATACACTCAGACCTATGTTCTCTGTACAAGTATTTACATTACTTAGTTGTCATATTGTAGCCCTTTCTTTAATCAGATAAACTATTATCACTCCTTATACTGTAAGTTTGATTTCCCTGCTCATAGGCTGGTTTTCGTTTAGTGTTTGTGTGACTCCTCTTAATTTTATTCTGCTATGTGGGACTATTTTTACATTACTGTATTTCAAATGCAGACCAGTGAATATTAGTACATGTGCAAAGGGTGGAAGAGAGAAATAATAGAGTGATTTTGCTAGAATAATGTAAAGTCCAACATATGTATTCCCATGCAGGGAACATTGCCTTTGAAATGCACAGCTATTTGTAAACCAGTAAACTCTGATTTCACAGCCTCTTGTGAATGCTGTGTGTGCCATTGATATTGGTGTCTATTTCTATGTGCCATTCTCTTAGCCTTTATTGACCAGAGAAAGTTAATACTCAAATAAATAACAGCCAAGACTTTTCTGTTACTCTTGGCTTTTGAAAAAGCAAACAAAAATGAGGTGAGTTCCCCCCCCCCCTTTTTTCAGAGTAGAGTTTTCAAGTGTATGTAGGAGTAAAGAAAACAACACACATAAACACCTCTACTTGGCAGTTCTTACCTTCGACTCCCCTACCTCAAGAGCGATGCAATATTCGAGCTGCGGGGGCAGAGCTCCACCAGAGTTTTTAAGGTAGCGCTGGACGCTGGGCACAGAATCTTTATCCAGATTGATTTCACCTCTTTTGGGAAACATCGAAAGGAGCATTTCCACTTCCAATAGCTGGAGCTCCAGGCATTCTTTTACCGTGACAGCCATCGCGCTGTCCTCCACGCCCGCCTGGAACGAGAGGCCTGGAGTCAAATCCCGGTGCTTAGGGCACGGAGAGGTTCAGCACCACGTCACAACGCAACAAGGAAGCTCCACGATTCTGTAAGGGCAGAGTTTGATTAAACACGGCTGGGCACACAGCGCTCAGCAGCCAGTCCCTCGCAGGAGTGCTCCACACACGCCGGGCAGGGCTGGTACCTCGGTGCTCCCCAGAGCCAGGCGGAACCGTGCCGGGCTCGGGGACGGGGAAGAGCGCAGGCTGGAGACCCGCGTCAATGTGCGCGGGCAGAGCGGCCGTGTCTGCGTGTCGGGGTTCAACTCCAGCCAGCAGCCGAGGTCCGGGATCCCTCCACCCGCGGGATCAGGGGAGAATCGGAAGGGCAAAAGCCAGAAAACCCGCGGGTTTGAGATAAAAGCAGTTTAATATGAAAAACAAATGCCGCGCACATAAGCAAAGCAAAACAAGCATTAATTCACTGGGCAGGGTGGTGTTCAGGAGAGCAGGGAGATGTGTAACGGTGGCTTGGGAAGACAAACGCCATCACTCCAAACCCCTTCCTCCTTCTTCCCCACACTTTATATATATACTGAGCTTGATGTCACACGGTCTGGAATAACCCTTTGGCCAGTTGGGATCACCCGTCCCGGCTGTGTCTCCTCCCAACCTCCCACGTACCCACAGCCGCCCCGCCAGCGTGGCGGTACGGAAAGCAGAAAAGGCCTTTGCTCTGCGTAAGCCCTGCTCAGCAAAACCAAAAACATTTCTACATTATCAACCCTGTGTTCGGAACAAACCCAAAACACAGCCCCGTACCAGCCACTGCGAAGAAAAATAACTCCGCCCCAGGCAAAACGAGCACACTGGGGCGGCAGTTTGGAGCCCGAGCGTGACGACAGTGAAGCTGTGCAAGACTGGCTATCCCCGAGAGCCCAACCCGTCCCAGACACAGCCGGATCCTCCCGCAGGAGCGGGGCACGAACAGGGCGCGCTCGGCCCGGCCGCGGCCCAGAGAGGGTGGGCGTGGCCCGAGCGCCACGTCGCACACTAAGCCCCGCCCATCACGTGGCCATTGGTCGGTTGCGCAGCCTGTGGGCGTGGCCGCGCCGGCTCCGTGAGGGGCGCGCGGCGACAGCGGGATCGGAGAGAGCTTGTCCCGTCCCGTCTCTTCCCGTCCCTTCCCGTCCTGTCCCTCCCCGCAGGTGGGTCCGGGCGTCGGCGCCGCGGGGTCCCGAGGGCATCAGCCGTGCAGGGAGGCGGCTGCGGAGGCGCCCGTCGTGGCGCGTGTCCGGCCGGCCCCGCCCAGCCCGTCCCGGCGGCTCTGTGCGCCTCAGGTGGCCGTGGCCGGGTGGGTCCGCACGGAGCGCCTCGGCAGAGCCGCCGCCCGAGGGAAACGTCCCGGGGACACTGCTGGGGGATTCCCTACAAGGGCTTGGAGAGGGGGGACAGGCTGCTTTGGGGATCGAGAGTTGGTCTGAGGGGTCGCGGCCGAGCGTGGTGGGCGCTGATGTTGCGGCGAGAAGCGGGCGGGAAGTTGTCGGGATCCCTGGATCCAGCCGACCGGGAATCGCAGGATCTCCTCGCCTCCTCCGAGCGTGATCTGTTTAAATCTGGTCGAGCTCTGTTTTATCCAGTGCTGTACAGGGAATGTAGAGGCTCCTTCGCTCTGGTTGCGCCTGGCTGCGCTCCCACCAAGGGATTTGATACGAGTGGTTTAAAGTATCCTGTGGGCTTCAAAGTTAAAAACGTGGAACTAATTACAATGACTTGAGTTCTCTCACTTGCATCTGTGTTACTTCCTGCTCTAGAAATGGATCCCGAAGCCCTCAGAAAATACTCAGCCTTACATCCCAAGCCCACCGGCCTGGCTCTGCAGTATGGCACTGCCGGGTTTCGCACCAAGGCCCAGCAGCTGGATCACGTCATGTTCCGCATGGGCCTGCTCGCAGCCCTCAGGTCCAAAGCCGTGGCAGCAGCTATTGGTGTCATGGTTACAGCATCTCACAACCCTGAGGTAAGATCAGCCTTTTCCTGAAACACGTGACCGGTTTGGTGGAGTGATGTGAAATGTTTTGGTAGAATGATGGAAAGATGTGATCAGTTTGGTGGAATCAAAGCTCATCATGGCACTGAGAGACCAGATACTGAAGACACTTGAACCTACTTAAAGCACACATTTAGCCTGCTCCCTGTAAATAGGATCTCTGGCATATTTGAAGTTACTTTTCCCTCTGACCCAAGTGTCATTTTTTCTTATGTGGAAATGGTGTAACATAGAAAACATTTTATGTTGCAACGTAACTTTTTGATGTTATCAAGCTAGGAGCACCCTTGAGAAGGGAGGAATTTCTGAGCAAAATTTGTAAGTTTTAAAAGTAAACACCCAAATGCAGCAATTACAAATCAGGCACTTAGACTTATTGCTGCTGTGGAGCATTGCAGTTTTTTGAATCTCCCCTTACATCATTGCAATGTCAAATTAGTTTCATACCAAAATTACAAGGGGGAAAAAGTCGGTTACTTAATATGCTGGTTATGGTACTTTTGGGGGCCTTGTTGGAGGTTTAAATAAACAGCTAAGCTTTTGCATCTCAGCAGTTCTCCACCTTTAAAGAAGCAATGTGATTGAACCATATGTTGGCTGTCTTCAGAGAGGTTTTACTAAGTTCCCCACTTGTAGACTTAGTATCTTTTGTTCTTTTTTTTTCTATTAAGGAAGACAATGGCATAAAACTGGTTGATCCTCTTGGAGAAATGCTGCACCCTTCCTGGGAAGAGTATGCCACACAACTAGCAAATGCTGAGGAGCAAGAATTACAGGAAGTGATAAGTGAGATCTGCCAAAAAGCAGAAGTGAACCTGCACAAAGATGCTTTGGTTTTTATTGGTAGAGACACCAGGTAGTTACAAAATGCTGTAGGTGTATGCTGCTTTTATAGAGGTGCCAGTGCTGTGTTCATGGGTGCTTTTGGGGTGCTTTGCCCCCTGCAGCCAGATTATGCTTTTTCTATGCCTAAATTTATGATTATAGCAATAAGCAGAAGTTTTCCAATGCTGTTCCTCTGTTAGCTGCCCTGATAGCTACGAGAACTTTTTATCACTGTTTCTGGGAGCGAGGCTTTATTGTGATGTGGGGTGTTTTTGTGGGTACTGTGGGATGTCCACCTATGTTCAGCAGTTTACTTGTCTTTGCAATTCCCTGGGGGTTGGCTTTCAAACTTCTTTATTGAGAACTGCCTGCAATATAGAAAAATATATGGATTTCTTCACTATGAGTCTAAACCTACTGACAGGAAGTTTGTACAGTCTTCCACGTCTCTTTCCCAAGTCCATACAGAAACGTCTTTGCAAAGGTTATCAGTTGTATTTGTTGTTTTCCAGGCCAAGCAGCGAGAAACTCTCCCAGTCAGTAATAGATGGGATTCTTGTTTTGGGTGGTCAGTACCATGGTATGTTAAACTTCTGCAGTTCTAGTCTGATTCAAGTTTTTTATGTAGATGCAACTCTTTTATGTAGGCCTAAAGCAGTAGCCCAGACACATTTCCATTCTTGCTTGTAACAGTGTCCTTTCAGGGTATTCGTATGGCTTTAATGCAAGGGGGGGGGGGGGTGGGAGTCATCTTTTTGCAACAGAACTTCAAAAATTTCATATGTATTTCCTGCACTGCATTTGTCTGTATACCGGACAACTTTGAATCAACAGTTAATTTGCAATTCTATTTCTGAATGTTATGCCTTTTATTTCATGCTAGATTATGGTCTGGTGACAACACCACAGCTGCATTACATGGTCTGCTGTCAAAACACCCAAGGGCAGTATGGGAAAGCAACGCTGGAAGGCTATTATGAAAAACTATCCAAAGCTTTTATGGAACTGATAAAACAGGTGAATAGTGGGTGTTGTCTTTTTCATGCAAATGTACAAAATTATTATCTTCTGATTGTTAGCCTGCTTGGGCCTGAATTTTGGAATTTAGCTTGCCTCTAGTTGTGGTTTCGCTAGGGCAAGGGTTCACTTTGCCCCTTCTTTCCCTGTGCTAAGTCTCACAGCTCTGGAGAGTGTCAGAGGCACCTGAAGATTGACTGTGCCAATGGAATAGGAGCCCTGAAACTATCAGAAATGAAGCCCTACTTTCCACAAGAGGTGCTAATTCACATATATAATGATGGAACCAAGGAGAAACTCAATCATTTATGTGGTGCAGATTTTGTGAAGGTTCATCAGAAACCACCCAGAGGTATGTAGCTGGTAATTTTATGTCACTTTACCTCCTCTCCAGGCCTGAAAGTGCAGGGTCTGGTAAGGGTGCATCATCTTCAGATAAGCTGTGCTCCCTATTTCTTACTAGTGACTGCATGAATGGTTCTGCTGGTGCAATGGAAAGAGAGAATCCTATGGCCAGGTTTGGCACAGCTCTAGTTTATGTTAAACTGTTTGGAGGAGTACAATATCTCTCTGAGTGGCTGAAGTATGTTTGACAATCTGTTCTGAATGTTAAGCTGGTGGAGTCCAAAGATCAGTCAGGACTGGCTTAATGTTATTTATTTTGCTTCCCTTTGTGATATGAAGAAACATTCACGTTGTGGGCTGGGTTTGCAGGCATATTTCTGAGTTCCTGAAGAAGATCTGGGATAATTAACAGCTTGATGCCAGCAGACTGGCATATTGACATATTAGTGACTGACATAAACCAGAGAGGAAATTATTTGAACTGATTTCCTGCAAAGTGTATAAAAGAAAATCCCTGAACTGGAAGAGCAGGGTGGTTTGGATATGAGGTTATTTAAGATTAAAATGGGTTCTCCATTGGACAACTGCATTCTCGCTGCAACTGCTGCCAAATCTGAACACCAAATTATGGTGTGGTTTCTCTTTCCCATGCTGCTTGTGTGCTGGAGAAATGCCAGCACAGTGTGAGCAGCACAGTGTCAGTCACTGCTGGGGATGGAGGATTGTGTGTCACCTCTGGATCCTGGCTGATGAGAGACTCTTTGGTCATTTCCGTGCAGGGCTGTGCTCTGAAAAGAAAATGGGTTTTCCTAATCACTCACTGAAACAAATTATCTGATTTTTCTGAAGGGTTAGTTAGGTGGTATCAGCTTCCTGTTTAAAGTCATGGGGAGTCTCAGCTTGTTAAATGTTGCAGTTGCCATTACCTCATGCTTTGGCTTCAGGACCTCACTGGCACTGGGATTTAGTGCCCTGTATCACTTCAGGCAAGCAGGAGAAGAAACAGGCAAGGTTTGGGGTATAATTTCCTGTGCTCTGAAGAGCAAGGTGTCACCAAGGTGGCCAATTTTTGTCTGCTTGTGTACTAAAATATTTTTTCCAAGAAGGAGGCACAGGATGCAGCATGTCCTTAGGAGCTCCCTGCTGGGTTCCTGGGGGACTCTCAAACCAGCCTAGAGAATGGCCAGCTGCAGTTTCTGAGAAGTAGACCCTGAGGTTAATGCGACCTTATGACATCTAAAGAAAAGCAAGATTTACCTTAACTAAAGCAATTCATTTCTGTGTGGCATTGCTGTGTCAGTGAGGACTGTTTCCTAACTGTTTCTCTCTTGGAATTAAGCCTGGAAAGTTTTTTGAGGCAGGTACTCCTTATGCATTGTATACATTGTTGTGTAAGTTTAATATCAAGCACACTAAATGTGAGGCATTTTATAGCCAGCACATCCACTTGTATATTTTTTGTACAGCTCTGAGAAATCTTGGTGATGGCTACTTTGGAGAGGGGTAGTTTTTTCAGTGTTTGGATTTATGTGCCACCTCCTGTTGTAATTGTATTTCAGCGATGGCTTTGCTGGTGTGGGGGTGCATGTTTGCCTTGCATTAGGAAAGACATCAAAGAGGAGGAGCAGGTCTGGCGAGTGGGAATGGAATAAAATTAAACAGGCCAGAAGTATTTCCTGAGGAAAAGCATTTCTTGATGCAAGGGAAAAATAATTAATTGTTGTCTTGGAGGGTGCAGTACAGAGTACACAGAGGACCTGCCATGAGCAGGGAAGTGCAGTGACATGGCCCCAGAGCCCTCCTCTGCCTGGATATAGTTTGTCTCCACCCTCAGGGCTGCACAGCGTGCCACACCCTGCTCAGAGGAGCAGTGAGGGAGGGCTGGCTGTGTGTGCCCATGTCCAGCTAAGGCCACTCAGCTGCCACTCGCTGCCTCAGGCTCCTGCCCAGGTGTCAGGCAGGGCCCCAGGTGTCACAGCAAACATGGGCTCGCTTTGCCGTGCAGTGGGGGACAGCGACTTGCCTCTGTCTGAAGGTGATGTGTATGGTCTGTCTGTGGTGTATGGTCTGTCTGTGGTGTATGGATGTCCTCTTGCTGGTGACTGGGTGTGTAAAATAAGGGGTGGGTGTTCTGCTGCTGCAAGGTTTTTAACCTTGTGCCACCACTGATACTCAACCCTTATTTCCGAATTTTAGAGATGTGACTATACGCAGTAGTTCTGGGACTGCTTTTCATACATGTCTGAGGAGAAGGTGTCTTATCATTAATGTTTAGAGAACCTGCGTTTTTGATGTTAGTATTTGTATTTTTGATTTGAATATGCACTTCAGTTGCCATTCAGTACAGATTCCCTGTTACATGTCTCTCAGTCTGAGTGTTATTTTTGTGTGTTCACAGAGCTAATTTCCTTATGAGATCCACTGTGGGACTAATTTGAGCACTTTGTGGTTTTTTCTGTCTCTAACTTGCATTTGTAACTGTGTGTGCACTAGGGCTAGACATGAAGCCCAATGAGAGATGCTGCTCCTTTGATGGCGATGCAGATAGAATTGTTTATTACTATAAGGATGCAACCGGCCACTTTCACCTAATTGATGGAGATAAAATAGCAACTTTAATTAGTATCTTCCTTAAAGAACTTCTTGCCAAGGTAACTTTACAAACTAAAGTGCCACCATTCACTTCATATGTTAAAGCATAAAAGAGTCTGAGGAACTTGGCTGTGGGAGTCAAGGGTTTGTGTGTTATCATTCCCAAACCACATAACATCCTCTCCACACAAGGGATAGAGAGAAAAAGCTTTTCTTTTTTTGCTGAAGTCCTCTTGGACTCAGTGTCTATGATACTGAACCTAGACAAGGCAGCCTGGTTTTGTTTTCTCAGAGATCAGTTCATTTCTGTGTCAGAGAAGCTGGCCAGTGAGGAGAACTTGCCTGCCACCAGCCTGTGCTTACTTTGCACTGGAAGCTTTGACTTTACTGCTTGTGTATGTGGCCTCATGTAATGCCATGTGTCTGGCCTGTGCACAGAGCTAACTGAATCTGAAAAAGCAGTTGGGAAAGTCTGAGCTTGGAGAGCTGCTTCAGCCAGCCACAAGAAAAAACAAAACAGGATATACAAAGACTTGGACAGAATTCGTGTTGTTTTAAACATAAAAAGTTCTCTGTGAGCTCCTGCCTTCCTCTGATGCCCAGGAGTTTTAAGTGTATGTTTACCAATTCTAATTATTCTTCAGTTTATCCTACTTGTTTGGCTATGGGCCCATAGTACACTAAAGCACTTGGCTTCTTGGTTTGCTCAGGTGAGACAGAACTTCGAGATGGCCGTGGTACAAACAGCGTATGCCAATGGGAGTTCGACACGCTACCTCGAGGAAACACTAAAGGTATTCTCCATATTTTTCCTTGCTAGTTTCCTGCAAATGTTACTTAATACAAATTTGTTTACTTTTAAAATAAATGCTTCTATAACATGATTGTTGGAAAACTTTATTTGGGTGAAAATAAATTACTCCTTCAAAGCTGCAGTACTGACTAAATTCTTGGTGGCAAAGGAGACCCAAGAGAGCAAAGCTGAAAAAGTTCCAGTCAGCTTTCACTAATTTAAAAATGTTAAAATCCATTTTTCCTTCTCGAACAAGCTGAGGACTTCATAACTTTGCAGCAAAGTGAGTTAGTAAAGGCTCCTTGATACTTTGACACTGAGTTTAATTTTCTGTGACAAGCTAAATGTTGTTCACTACAGAAGTTGAGCAGGGGTGTTATTTCTGTTTGCATAGAAATCTGTTGTGTTCCCTGAAGCCATAAGCTGAATTGGGTTTTTCTAGCTTTGGAGTTTGTTTCTTGATTTCTTTAATTAGCCTTTATTTACATTTGAATAAATGAAATCTTTTTTAATTGGGTCTGCAGAAATAGTGGACAATATTAGCTCTGCGGAGTCAGTTGCTGTGAAACATGGGTTAGTTTGTAACAGTCTATCCAGGTCTATCCAGGTTGGTGCTCAGTTCCTGCATTTCACTTGACCTGCAGTTCCCACCTTCTGAGGACAGTCTGTAACATCATTGTCATTCTCTGCATATCCTTGGGCTGCAGGTACCTGTGCACTGTGTCAAAACAGGAGTGAAACACTTGCATCACAAGGCCCAGGAGTTTGATGTTGGTGTTTATTTCGAGGCGAATGGACATGGTACAGTAAGTGTGACCATGTAATGCATAGGTTCTCTGTGGTTTATGTGGGCATGGGAATTCATGATAGCAAATATTAACGATGGTTATTTGGGCTTAGATAGTAAAAATTTTTTCCTTGTTGCTGCACATATCCTGGTTTGATCGTGACAAGCTCTCATCTTTTTATTCCAGGTATTATTTAGTAAATCTGCTGAAACTAAAATAAGACAATTGGTGAAAGAGGAGAAGGATGATGAGAAAAGAGAAGCAGCAAAGGTGCTTGAAAACATGATTGACCTGATTAATCAGGTAAAAACTGAGAGAAATGAATGGCTATGTTGGCAGTCATGAGGCTAATCCTGTTTGTGAGTTCCTGTCAGGCTACTGCTGGGGACTGCTGGAGCAGGGAGTCAGGTGCCATGATAGAAGGGGCCAAGAAGAGGAGGGTGGGACAAGTCTTTAGAAAGATGTGATACTTTCTCATGAGTGGCTGCAGAATGCTTTTATCTGGTGCAGTCTGCTGGCTGCAGGACATAGAGGGAGTGGGATAGCATGGGAACCTAGTGCTGGGATGTGACTTGTTCATGATTCAACAAGCAGTAATCTTTTGGCTGAAGTTTTTCACTAAGTTATATGGTACGGGAGGATGGGGGTGTTCCAGTGCCTGGATCCACACAGCCCTCAGACTTTGTGTCTTAGCACAGATGTTATTTGTCTGTGGTAGTGCCAGAGGCCCCTGAACAGCGGTGAGGTGCCAGTCCTCCTTAGGAGAGGTGAGGACTATCACTTGCCCTTGGCAGAGCTGTAGAAATCTGCTGCTGTTCTTACCTCAGGGGCAGCGTGGTATGGGCAACAAAACCAACATTCCTCCCCCTGCAGCCAAACCAACCAAGCTCAGCTACACTGGGCAAGTTGACCTGGCTGTACTTGCACTCTTCAGCTGGAAGCTTACTGATCAAATCCTGCCTTCCTTTCTTCACTGTTGATCGCTCCAGTGTTTCTTCCCTTTCTGTTAACAGACTGTTGGCGATGCCATCTCAGACATGCTGGTTATTGAAGCAATCCTGGCCTTGAAAGGTCTGACTGTGCAACAGTGGGATGCCCTCTACACTGACCTTCCCAATCGGCTGCTCAAAGTTCAGGTGAGTTACACACCATGCTGGCTCAGGTTACAGCAGCATCTTGTGTCTGCAGATATTTAGATAAGCTTATTTTTAAGCTGAAACAGCCCATTCAAGGGCAGAAGTAGGCCAAACAAGCCATGAAATGACCCAGAGGAGGGACCAGAATTTGACTTGGACTAAGATAAAAATACAACTTACAAAAATGATGAAATAATAGCTAACTATGTTAAATGGAAAAACCTGAGCAGAACTCTTCAAATTTTAGCCTAGAATTTCCTTCTTAACTTTCAAATTAGAAAAATCCCATTTTTCTAAGGGCCCTGCTTGCTGGGCAGCTTGCTGGATTTTTCTTGCTGTGCCACTTTTTATAACTTGAATGTTCAAGCTCTTGCTTCTTTATCCTCTCCAGTATTCAAAGAGCTTGAGCAGAACAGGCTGCCATGTGGTAGCATTCTGTTAGACAAAGTAAGGAAGCTCTGGGCTTTAAATTAACCAGAGGAGAGAATTTCAGCTTTCTGATCTACTGGGAGAAGCTGCAGCTTCACTTCAGAGTCTGACCAAGGAGGCATGTTCAGAACTGACCCTTTTCCAAACTGAGCAGCTGAGCCCTGTCATGGTTAATACATGCTGAGCAGGGATCCTAGGGATCCCAAGTGTTTGAGTAGCCCTTTAATAACTCTCAAATTGAACTCTTCTTCAGGCAACACAACAGATGGAAACCTGAATTTATGTCTTATCCACGACACAAATAAATTGTTTCTGATGGCGCAGGTTGCAGACAGGCGTGTTATTGACACAACGGATGCAGAAAGACGTGCGGTTACACCTCCGGGACTGCAGGAGAAAATTGATGCCCTTGTGAAGAAGTACAAGCTGTCACGAGCTTTTGTCCGTCCATCAGGAACAGAGGATGTCGTCAGAATATACGCTGAAGCAGACACACAGGTCAGTGCTTAAACATCTTGTTTATGTGAAACAATGTTCTCCTTAGCATGGGGTGACAGAAGTAGTATGCTTACATACTTCTCATTTAATCACACTTAACAAATGCCAAATTTGGAAAAAAAGACTTAATGATCACAAAAAGGCTCTTTGGATTTTCTTTTATTTAGAAAAGTAATGTTTCATGTTCTCAATGTTGATCTTTAAAAGGAAAATGTGTTTATAAAGGCAGATTTGACACTAGATGATTTTGAAAAGCTTTCTGAGATCTCAGGGTTAAGAAGAAAGTTACCAAAGCACTGCCTAATTGCATGATTTCATAAGAGGCAAAATAGAAAAAAAATTCTTGCTGCTGTTAAGTTAGTCCACGTCTGAACTTAAAGTTGACAGTAAAAGCAGTGGTCCTGCTCTACCTCCTTCACATGCTCTGGCCTGCTTCTCCCTGCCAGCATGATGGCAGTGGCAGATGGAGCAATACAGGGAGCACAGCATTTGCAGGAAAGTGCTTGCCTTAATATCACATATTTGGTCTAACCTTCTCGTGGTGACAGCAGCATAACTAAGTTTTCCAACATTCCACAGGAGAATGCGGATGCCCTCGCCCACGAAGTAAGCCTGGCCGTTTACCACCTCGCTGGTGGAAAGGGAGCACCACCCCAGCCTATATAATGAATGATACAACAGCAGTTAAATTACACAGCTTTGCTTATCTTTTAATATTACTTTTTTTACCATGTGCTCTTGTGCACGTACCCAACCCTTCCTGGGAGTAACAAGCATTAATCAGAACTGAACAGAATATTTTTCCACTTATTCTTTACCTCCTTTAGCAACTTACCTCTTAATGAGAAGCACTTGCTGCTGAATGTTCCCCTCCCCAAGTTTGTCTAAGTTCTTGACAGGCCATGGCCATGCCTAGAAGGAAATCTGCCCCAGCCCAGCTTAATTCATTGTCACATTGTGCCTGAAATCCAGCTCCTGCACACTCAGAGCACTGGCCATGGCTGCATGACTGGAGCTCTGCTGTGACTGTGCTTACAGTGGCTGCAGCATAGTCCCTGCTGCAGGAACATCATCCCCACCTTCCCACAGCAGCCCAGTCATCTGTGGGCAAACAGCATAAGGCACAGGCTGTCACTAGTCTCCAGATTCAGTTTACCTCAGTTCGAGGGGGAAACAATAAAATAAAAAAGAACATTTGCAAATAATAACTTATTATTGCAATATTATCTTCATTAGATACTTTGTGAAATTAATTAGAAAGTGATTTGCAGTAACAGTATTTATAATCACACTTAAGAGGGAAGGGACAGAGACAAGTTTGTCTTCTGTGGCCCTTACTGCTGCCCAGCACCATGAAGGGGCTGGGTCAAGGGATGTAGTGTTTTAAACACACAAGTGTCCTCCTCAGCTTACTTTGATTCAGGGTGTCTACCTCTGACGTTGTTCTTGTAGTCCTGTATTAACTCCTGACATAATGGCATTTTCCAGATTATTAAATAAGCACAAGTTCTAATATATTTAAAAAAGAAAGACAGAAATAAACTGGAAACAAATTGAAAAAATGTGCACCTTGTATTTTTTTTTAGTTTTTTTTTAAAGACAGAACTCAAGACAACAAAACATTTACTGCAAATAGTAGGCACCATAATCAATATGAGCCACCAATATTTAAACTTGATTCAGGCCACATCCAGAACTTTTCTCTTATTTACAAATATTTAACTTAAATACAACATTAAGTATTTCATTACATACAAAGTAAGAAAAGAATACTATACACCTGGGAAAGATACAGTATTTCATTTAAATAGTTACATTTCACATAGGCTGCGTAGTACCAGTTTGGTTCATGATTTTATGACACCTTCAAGAAAATCCTTCTCAACCATTTCTTCTATCTTTTGTCTTGCTTTGCTGGAGAAGGTCTTGAGGTTCTCCATTTTTATGTCCTTACTCGGAAAACAGCTGGGGTAAAGGACAGGGCTCCCTGAGTGTCCAACACATCTGCTTGTGACTTTGCTGTTAAAAACTTGGCTGAGTACGTTGAAGAAAGGCAAAAGCTGCTCGATGCTGCGAACGGTGTAGATTGTTAAAAGCAAGTGACCTGGTTCCCAACTTAGTGTTTTCCCTGAGCCGTCCTCCTCCGGGTTTTTCTGTAAACACAGAGACATGGCAAATAATACAGGACAAAACAGAAAAAGCACAGGTAAAAGTAAAAGAGTAATGTGTAATAAAGTATTTTCCTATATTCCAAAAGTATTTGTCCTATCAACAAGGCATATGCTGGAGTGCAGCTTCCGAAGCAGATCCCTTGCTCACCACACCCTGCAGAAGCAGTGGCTGGGAGTGTACAGGTGGCAGTCGATCAGCCAGTTGCAGTGGGCATTTGAGTCCAACACCTCATCCCAGGGCTGTCCCAAAGCAAGGTAGTCCCCGCCATGCTGCCCTGCAGAGCTGCTCCTGGTGCAGCACCCCATGGGATAACACAAATGGCCCGAACTGGTGACAGCCAGCATTGGCTGCTTGGGGAAGTTGTGAGCTACTTCAGCTGCTTTGCTTTCATAAGCAGGCTCCTCTCTGGTGACACTCACACTTCACCCTGCTGCCAGCATCAGTGATGATAAACCCCAGAGGAAGTTAAAATACATACGAAGCATTTTCACTTTGCAGCTTGAGTTCAGAGTTTTCAGGAACAGCAAAAGCAATGCTGGTTTTAGTATCAGAACACACACTGAGGTTCTGAGAAACACTTGAAGTTGTCCTCAAAGAGAAATGGTTCAGTTACTCATTACATGCTCTCAGAAGAACTCAGTTATGCTCCTTCCATTCCATGGGAAAATTTCAAGGGAGGGAATTTCAGGAACCCCACAAGCAAAGGCAGCAGTCACATACCAGATGCTCACCGGCAGTATCAGCACACTGCTCTAACCCTGTTTAGGGTTGCCTTAAATACCTGTGTACTGAAATACCTGAGCACCAACATTCTGGTGCTTATATGGTAGTCTTCACTCATTTCCTTTTTCTCTTTGAGTCAAAAAACATATTTAAATCTAGACAATGAGGTACTATCACCACTAGAAACACCTTGTTTGTACTGTTACTGACAAACCAGTACAGGAAAGTTTCTACCATGAAGTAGAATTCCAGCAATACTGGATTTTATTCTGTGAGAAAGGAGAAAAGAAGCACAAAGGCCCCACCAAGGAGAGCCACCTCCTGATCCACCCCTGACCAGCACCTCTGTCCCACTGCCCTGGCAGTGCCTGTGGCAGAAGCGGGAGTCCGAGACCCCTGCAAGTTGCAGAGCTCCTGCAGAATAGGCTTGGTAATGAAAGCAGAATGAGGGGGAAAGAACAGCAGTGGGAGCAGAATGCAAGGTAAGACTAACTGACTGCACAGCCTTGAGCAAACAGATTTTCTTCACGAGATGATTCTTCAGCAAATACAGGTTTTACCCTTTAAATGAAGCAGCTCCTGCAATCCAGGAGCCTACATGACACTTATTTCACAAAACCCAATTTGGTTAAAATTCAATATGGTTGTATATAATATTTTAATCTGGTGGTTTGGCTTCCTGCCACAGGAGATCACTCTTCCAGCTCTACAAGTCTCCAGAAAGGAAAAGCTCGCACTGAACCAGAAAAAAGGGAAGACTGAATTTCCAATACATAAGGAGTTGTTGATGCCTCCTTCTTTTAATGAAGCTACTAGTTTTTAGAGTTTCTCCTTTAAAAACTTCTCATTGGATTCACAGAAGAGAAGCTTCTCCATATTGGTTCTGTACTGTGCTCAGCATTACCCAGCAGTGAGCACAAACTGCCTCCAGCACACAGCAGGTGTCGGTGTTACACACCACCCAAACAAATGGGGCGCACGTGCAAATACTGACTCTCTGAGCAATGAAATGCAACCCAATCCAAGCCATTTCCTCATGGCTGTTATCTGCTAAGCAAACACCACTAATTCCACAGATACTTAAAACAACAGTTAACTTGACAGAGACCCTGATTAGGGATTGTGTGTTCCATACCTGGTGTTTGACAAAAATTATTTTACAATTTAATTTTATCATGATTTGTGATCATAATTCTTCTTAGAAGTAACAGTAGCTTTTTGTAATCTAATTCATATAGGAAATCAACTTAAATTTGTTTTTAAGTTATCTATAAAAATAAGGGTACTTATGATTCTTTCATTTCAAAAATCTCTCAGCTTTGTTCTACAACAAATCTGATCTCTCTCAGTTCTTACTGAAGGCTAAATAGCGCCCAGGGCCTTGAGGTGATGGTATTATTATGGTGAGCTTGTTTCACAACTCAAGCATCAAAGGCCACCCTCACCTGATGCTTGGCCATCTCCATTCCCTCCAAAACCACCGTCTTAAAGTCCTCCTGTTTGTCCTGTGGAAGGAAAGAGGAGAACTTTCAGACTGCATTTCAGATATGAAAATAATACTTTGCCGTGAAGGCCGTGCAGTTGCTTGGTTGGGTGCTAGAAAAATCACCCGCCCCAAATGAGTGCATGATCCAGAAATGGCAGACTCGAGCTAGTGTGGCCAAGACGCTATTAGACAGAAACAGTACTGCCAGTTTGTTCTTCTGTTTATTTCCAGCAGTGCTGAAGGAGGTTTTTAAGCATGTTTCCCCTCAGATAACACAGCCTGAGCAACACTGTACTACATGAATCTAAGCATTAGTCAGAGTGCCCTGAAAGAAAATTAAGATACACTCCATTTTGCTCATATCAGTTATTTTCTAAGAAAACCCCATAGCTATATGCAACAATATTCTCCTCTGCATAAAGTAGGCCAATATTCATTACCTCATGTTTATCTCATCATCATACACCTACCTACAGTTCAGTGTGCAACTGCTGCCGTGACTAGGGGGTTCCAGAAATTCCAGGAAGTTTTCTATATTCTTGAAGCATATTGTGGAAGTTCTGATTTCAGAAATCTATCTCAATGTACAGTACTTACCATAAGCATGCATATCTTACACATCATACGTGCTTTATAATTCATGCACAGAGATCACTTGGAGTGTGACAACTTTCTAACAGATACAGCACACTACACTGAACACCAGGGTTAGAGGCTATGAGTGATGATAAGCAGTCAGTTAAAACTGATCATTCCTTTATAAATGCAAGAAGAGAAATTTACTCTCATCTTCATGGTTCAAAAATGATAAAATGAAGAATGCAGATACGCTTCAGATACTTGTTTTATCCCCTATAGGTATGAGGCTTGCTCGAATAATTCAGATCTTCCTGCAACTAAGTTATCCCTAAGCTTTATGTAGCCACTTGGATCTCAGCAGTAGTTTCTTTACTATGTAAAAACACTCATTGGAGACTGTAAATGCAGTAGCTGCAGCAAACTGCCGGTGTTACAGCCCAGACCATGCCATCTATTTGGAGGAAAACCTGAGAATAAAACTTCAAAGCTTTCTCCCACATGGCTTTGCACTTCCTCCCTGCTTCTCTGGCCCACCAGCAACCTTTGCCATTGAAGTGCCTGCTCATGGGGGCTCTGTCCTCACAGCAGGAGCAGCAATGCATGTGGCAGCAGTGGTCTTACTTTGTGGCAGCAGCAGGACTCTCCCTGGGACAAAGCTTGGGCAGCTTCCATCAGCTTCACTAGCGGATTAGGCCTCTGCCTCACCCAAACTGAGGTTTTAATATACCTCAC